CTGTTCTGAAGACTGTTTTCTGGTCCAAGTATAGGTTTCACATAAGCCCCATGAAGTATTCCAGGATTCCCATTTTTCTCAAGGTTAGCCACAATTTACTGTAATCCACGCAGTCAAATGCCTTTTCATAGTCAATAAAACATAACAGACATTCTTTTGGCTGGTACTCTCTGCTTTCTGCTAAGATCCATCTGACATTGGCAGTAATGTCCCTAGTGCCACAATGTCTTCTAAACCCAGCTTGTATTTCTGGTAGTTCTCCATCAGTACTGTTCCAGTTGTTTCTGGGTGATCTTTAGCAAGATTTTTGTAGCATGTGATATTACTAATATTGCTTGATAATTTCCACACTGTCACGTCACCTTTTTTGTAATGGGACTAAATAGGAATCTTCCCAGTTAATTGGCCAAGTAGTTGTCCTCCAGATTTCTTGGCATAACTTGATGAGCACATATAGGGCAGCATCTGTTTGTTGAAATACGTCAGTTAGTATCCTGTCAATTCCTGGGGCTTTATCTTTTGCCAAGTCCCTCAGAGCAGCCTGTACTTCCTCCTTCATCAACACTGCCTCTTGATCATTCTTGAAATTCTTCTGTCAGCCAATTCTTCTTGATACAATTACTCTGTATCCTCCTTCCATCTTCCTTTAATGCTTTCCGAATCATTCAATATTCTGCACATAGCATCGTTAAGGTCTGTGTTTCAAATTTGGCCTCTGAACACAGGCAGAAACCCATGGATTTGCACAAGACAGGATCTAAGACTGCCCTGCAATGTTCTTAATCAGGTAACACCATTGTCCCAGAAGTCCATTGGTTTCCTTTACATCATCTTTAGGGAAAGGCTGTTCATTCTCAAAGCTGCATAGGGTCCAACCTGAACCACCATATCAGATCTAGAAGAGACCTATTCAGACCTTCGAAACGATCACATTGTGAGAGCAGTGTAAACAGAAGACACTAAACAGAAGATACAAAACTTAGCAGAAGCTCAGTGGCAAGGAACTTCCCTCAGTACTGCCTCAAGCAAAGTATTGCCCTGAATTGGTATAGGAGATTTGTATATCCTCCTAAACAAGAGACAGACAAAAGTGTGAGAGAACAGGAGCCGTATGTGATGTAGGCCATCACAGAGTGACTTGTGGACTAAGCTGTCGTATCAAGAGGTGCCTGGGAAAGGGAGGGCTTGAGCACAAGGTGGGCGGGAGTGCAATGAATGGTGATGTAGCAGGGAAAGAGAAGAGACAAGATACACTGAAATGTAAAGAATGTCAGTTCACCAACACTTGAAATGTGTTGGAATTTGGAGAACCGCAGATTTGGAAAAGGCATCCTAGAAGGAAGTTATATGAGCACAAAGCCACAGGGATGGAAAAGTATTAGGCCTACCAAGGAAGTACAAGACCTATCAGGCTCAGAGGTTGAACAGATGAGCTCCTGGAGATGGGGACATAATTAGCTTTGTGAAGAGGGGAGGCAGTGATAGAGCAGGAGGACCAGTGTAGGGGGTCACGTCGAAAGAATTTGGTGAACACTTAAGGGTGAGGAATAAGAAAGGTGTTTGCAAAGATTTTGGGACTGAAGTTTGGTTAGTTGAACAATGGTACTAATGTACGTAGGAAATACAGGGGAGAAATAAGGTTACTTTTACTCCTGTAGAGTTCAAGGTGCTGGAGACTTAAACAGGTGAGAACTCTCTACCAGCCACTTAGTAGGCAGCTTAAATTTGGGACTTAATGAGAGTTTTTTACCTGGGTATTCAGGTGTTTGAATCATCAGTACATGGGACTGGGTGAAGTAATGCCTACGTAGTACTGTAGAGGGAGAGGAAGAGACGGGGCTAAGAGCAGAAGTTAAGATCCCTGGGGAGAAGAGCTAACGGGTGGAGATACCCTTGAAGTAGAATAATCAAGTGCGTACTGTTTCTGCAGCCAGAGAAGGGAAAGAAAAGGGCAGATGATCTGATAGAATAGGAACTAAGGATTTCTTAATTAGAAAGACAGGGTATACCAGAGAAGACATTCAGATTGCAAACAAACATATGAAGAAATGTTCAAAATCCCTAGCTCTAAGAGAGATGCAGATCAGAACAACTATGACATACCATCTTACCCCAGTAAGAACAGCAAATTTAACGGAGCAGCAAGCAACAAATGCTGGCGAGGATGTGGAGAATCTGGAACCCTTACTGTTGGTGGGAGTGTAAAATGGTGCAACCACTGTGGAAGGCAGTATGGCGCTTTCTCAAAAATTTGGAAACAGAAATACCATTTGACCCAGCAATTCCTCTACTGGGAATATACCCTAAAGAAACCATAACTGCCACTCAAGCAAGTATATGCACACCCATGTTTATTGTGGCTTTGTTCACAATAGCAATGAACTGAAAACAACCCAAGTGCTCATCAACAAATGAACGGATAGAGAAGCTGTGGTATATTCACATGATGGAATACTACGCTGCATTGAAAAAGAAGGAACTCATGAAATATTATACAAAATGGGTGACCCCGGAGGACATGCTGAGTAAAATAGCTCAGTCACAAAAGGGCAAATAGTGCATAGTGCCACTGTTTTAAAATGGGTCTGACATCGGAGTTGGGGAAAACTAAGAGGGAATAAATAATGTCTACTGCATTGAAACAGATGAGGGAGAGAAATGTTTAGGAGGAATATATGATTAGGTATTGATTGTCATGACAAGAGTCCAGAATGAAAGCTGCCTAATAGTGGAGTGGACTGGTGCAGGGGGGTTGCATAAAATGAAAGAATTTTTTTTTTAGCTTTTCAAAGATAAAAGTGAACTGGGGAGAGGGATGGGCAGGGAAGAAAGCGTGCAACAGTGAATGAATGGAAATCCAAAGTCTCTGTAAACTTTCATTTAAAAAAAAAGTAACTTTTCAGAGGATAATTTCAGCAAGAAAGTGAGGGCAGAAGCTGGGTTGTATAAAGAATAATAGTTTTTTTTTTTCTCTATAATTATATTTTATTAATTTTCATAAACATTTACAGAGATTCTGGGCTTCCACTCATTCATTGCTGCACCACTCTCTCCACCCTCCTCCCAGTTTGTTCTTGTCCAAATGCCACAGTGCTTGTCAAAGCCAGTTCTGATTAATCTTCTTTGTCAGTGTATCCTTTGCCATTCCCTATCACTCCGCCCTGAGAGAGACTTCACCCTGAGTCATAAGGAAAAGGGGACGGCGTATTCTCTTAGCTACTTCCTGCTGAAAAGGGACGCTGTGGGTTTCAGGGTGAAGATCTTCTCTCACTACTCTAAAGGGCCCCTTTGGCAGTAGGAAACACGTAGACTATTATGGAGATTTATTTTGGAATTCAGATGCACTCTTATTGATTGTGCTTGGCTGTACATGTACATATCCTTCAAGATGTATCATGGGGGTGTTGCAACCTAGAAGACACGAATTTGACTAACAAGTTATAAGTACATGAGTCCAAAAATTATGGAAAAGTAAAAGAAAAGATTCTTTCATTGTTTTACAAACCCTCCCCCAGGTCCCCTCCACCATGCAGCCCTCGCTCTAGTCTCCTGTGATGACAGAGATACCCAGTTACATCTCTCTTTTAGACGGTTCTCTCCCTCCTCTTTTTCAGTGCAGTATACATTATTGAACCCATCTTACTCAGTCTCTCCCCAACCCCAAGGACAGTCCCATTCTACAACAGTGGCATCATGTAATATTTGTCCTTTTGTGACTGGGATATTTCACTCAGCATAATGTTCTCCAGAGTCAACCATTTTGAATAATATTGCATGAGTTCCTTGCTTTTTAATGCAGCATAGTATTCCATTGTGCGAATATACCACAGCTTCTCTAGCCATTCGTTTGTTGATGGGCACTTAGGTTGTTTCCAACTCCTTGCTATTGTGAACAAAGCTGCAATGAACATGGGTGTGCATATATCTGCTTGGATGTCAGCTATGGTCTCTTCAGGGTATATTCCCAGTAGTGGAATTGCTGGGTCAAATGGTATCTCTATTTGCAACTTTTTGAGAAAGCGCCATACTGCTTTCCACAGGGGTTGCACCATTTTACACTCCCACCAACAGTGAATCAGGGTGGATCATGGACCTAGGACTAAAACCAAGGACTATAAAATTCATTACAGAAAAGCTAGGAACAACACTAGAAGTCCTAATCCACAACATAAACAGTCTTCCCAGTATCCTGGAAAAGCTACAACCAGGAGAAGATAACATAGATGAATGGGACCTTCTAAGACTCAAATCCCTATGCACATCCAAAAACTTCTTCAGTAGGGTAAAAAGGGAAGCCACTGACTGGGAAAAAGTATTCGGTAATAACATATCAGATAAGGGACTTATATCCAGAATTTATGAAATACTTGAGCACCACAACAAGATAAAGGTAAATAATCCAATAGAAAAATGGGCACAGGATATGAACAGGCACTTCACCGAAGACGACATTCAGATGGCTAACAAACACATGAAGAAATGCTCAAAATCCCTAGCCCTAAGAGAGATGCAAATTAAAACAACTATGAGATATCATTTCACCCCAGTCAAAATAGCAAAATTTAACAGAACAGCAAGCAACAAATGCTGGCGAGAATAATAGTTTCTAAAACAGCAAGACAATTCTTTCACAGTATTTAGAAGTGAAGGGAGAACAGTTTCAGGTAGCAATTTATGGAGGAGGAGGAAGAAAAATTTCTTTAGGAAGGGCTGACGAGTTCAGTGTGAAGGTAGTGTGGTATGACTTCAGAGATGGGCCGTAGAAGAGATAAGAGAGTTCAGTTACCTAACCCAAGTCCAGAAGAATAAGTGTTATTAAAAGCAAATGTGTATATTTTGGCCTTGAAAGGGGTAGAGGGACGCTTTTTAAAAAATAAGTTAAAAAAAAAATCTGAAACAGGAAGTGGTCGACTGTCTTCTCAACACTCAGTTCCGCTGTGAGAAATCTCAGCTGTTGTGTGTTGCTGACCCGTGCATCTTTCTTTTTTATTTTTTAACAGGCCGCAGCCGTGGCGCTTTCTTCCCTGATTCACGCATTGGATGAATTAAACATGGTGGCCATAGTTCGGTATGTGTACGACAAGAGATCTAATCCTCAAGTGGGCATGGCTTTTCCGTTTATCAAGGACACCTATGAGGTAAAACTCCCAGGTCATTTCTGTTCATGCTGTGGCTGTTATTATTCTTTTTCTTTCCATTTTCTTTTTTTTAAAAAAAAAATTATTATTTTTTTTATGTGTATTGTCAAATCAGATCTGACTGGTACAGGAGAAGATTGCCCCTCCTTCTCCAGCACAGCATCTGGTGGATTTGAACCGTGTACCTCTGGGATTGCAGTGCAGCGTCTTGTCCATTTCTTTTTTCTAAGCTGTGTTTCTAAAGTGTTAACATGTGTGGGAATTATTTGGGTCCTTTTAAAGGTACAGATTCTGATTTGGCAGGTCTGAGGTGCACACACAACTCCCAAGGGATTCTCATTTTACTGGTCAGAGGATCACATTTTTAATATCAAAGAGATAATAAATTATAATGAACATGAGCTTCTCTTAAATCACAACAAACTATGACCATCTATTTGTCAAGTCCACTGATAACCTCAGAAACAAATAATGGTACAACTACATCCGTATGGGTTTTTTTAAAGAAAATTGTTTTTTTTTTAAGCTTTTATATTCTATTGGTTTGCATACAAAATTTATGTACTTTGTATTTTCATACTATCCTTCATTTACATTGTGTTTCATATAATCCTTCCCATTCATTGTGTTTTATAAAATGAATCACCATTGAACTATGCCCACCATGAGTTCATCTTTTAAGATCCTTGCCGGCTCTTTCCCATTTCCTTTACCCCCTCCCTCCACCCAGCACATTTCCCCCCACCCACGCTCATCCCTCTGCTCCCACCCCTCATGGGCCCCCCATACACGTTTTGCTAGTTATCCTTCAATTTTTTTCAGTAATAGTCATATGCAATATTTGTCCTTATGAGACTGAGTTAGTTCACTCAGCATGGTGCTCTCCAGTCTTCCTCAAGTTAGGTAGTAATTTTTGAAATTGTTGCTCCTGAGTGCTGTGTAGTATTCCATTGTGTCTATGTACCAGTTTCTCAGTCCATTCCCTGTGGTTAGACATTTGGGCTGTTTCCAGCTTCTTGCTTTCTACATCCATTTTTACAAATGGACCTGTGAAAAAGGCTTGGCAGTGTGAATTCATTGCCCTCATTGTGAAATTATGTTTATTTAGCACTCTTTTATTTTAAAACGATTAGATTCCTTACCATTTCCACTTGATTAGAGAACTTCCTCTTTCAGAACTGGAAAATGAAATTCACTGCCATTAGTCAATTCTAACCCTTAGCAACTCTGCAGGACAGAACAGTACTGCCCATTAGAGTTTCCTTGTCTGTAAATCTTTATCTAAAGAGTGACTCGAAGACTTGACCTACCAGCTTTTTGGTGCAGTCCAGCACTTGACTCACTCAAGGCTCCTTAGAACTGAGACGAGAAGGCAAAGATCTTGACTCTGTTTTCTGGCCACCCTGCTGTTCTCTGTTGTTCTGATCATGCAGCTATATTGATTAGCAGTTACTCTCTGTGTATCTTTACTTGTGGGTTCAACTTCCTACTGTTTGCAATCGTTTATAGCTCATAACACAAGTAAAAATACTTTCTTTTCTGTGTGCCAGGTTTTCAATACCTGGATAGTGACATATTTTTGTTACGCTCCTCTCATGGCATTGAGACCAGCTTTATATGTGTCAGGTGTTAATCCAGCTGCTTCTGCTTTGACGTGCTCTTGTCTCTCATCAGTGTTTAGCGTATGTGCAGCTGCCTTTCATGGAAGACTTGCGGCAGTACATGTTCTCATCCTTGAAGAGTAACAAGAAATGCACTCCCACAGGTGAGTTTGTGCCCAGGGAGCTCACTATTTGCCTCTAAACACAGACTGCTCTTGGAAGTCACCTGTCTACAGTCTTTGGTGAGTCTAGGATTTCATAGTGGGTCCCGTCCTTCCACAGCAAAGGTGAAGGTCATTCCAGCTGGAGGAGTAGGTTTGCTCTCAACTCTCTGAACCTGCTGAGTGTTTCCTGGTGACTTAGAGGTTAAGGAGCAGATTGCTGCAAGCGGATGTGCATTCTCTGTTGTGAGCAGGCTTACCCTCTGGAGAAGTGAACTGACAGATGAAATTTGTGATGTAGTTAGTATCCTGCATATACTAGAAGATAACTTCGAACCAAAAACTAACAACGGGAAACTTTTCTCTGCCTTCTTCTGTGGTTTGAAGTTAGAGTCCAAGTGTCATTGTTCCTTATTTCTGGCTTACATTGAGCTTGATCATAAAAGCTTTCCTTAAGTCAGTGGCTTCAGATGTCTGAATACTGAACAGAATGATTTTCATAGACATGGATCATGTCTTCTGGAGCCCAAAGCTTAAAATCTTGTTATTGTCATTGGGTACCCTCAAGTAAACTAGGATGAATAGATTGACAAAGGAACAAATAAGTCTTTCTTGAGGGAAGTGCAACCAGGGTGCTTCTTAAAGGCAAGGGTGATGAAACATCATCTCACATACTTTGAGCATGTTGTCAGGAGGAATCGATCCTTGGAAAGAGACATCATTCTGGGAAAGGTGGAAGGTCGGAGAAAGAGAGGAAGACCCTCAAGGAGGTAGATTGGCGTAGTTACTGTAGCCATGGGCTTGAACCTGGTAGAGATTGTGAAGATGGTACAGGATAGGTCCAGGTTAAGATCTGTTGTTGATAGGTTGCTATGAGTCATAGTCAACTGGACAGCATATAGCAACAATAGTCTCCCTGCCTACTGGGTGGGTGGACCCCGCAGTGCACATAGCAATGACAATAGCCACTGCCTGTCTCTGGGCAGACAGACCCTACAGTGCTCATAGCGATGACAGTAGTCCCACTGCCTACATCTGGGCAGACAGACCCTACAGTGCTCATAGCAATGACAATAGCCCACTGCCTACGTCTGGGCAGACAAACCCTACAGTACTCATAGTGATGACAGTAATCCCACTGCCTACTTCTGGGCAGGTAGACCCTGCAGTACACATAGCAACAACAGTAGCCCACTGCCTACGTCTGGGCAGGGACCCTGCAGTGCCCACCATAGCGACGACAATAGCCCCCTGCCCACATAAGGGCTGGTGGACCCTGCAATGGCCAGCTGGAGAGCTGTAGCAATGCCAGTGCCTGAGACGGTCCCTGGAAAGCCCAAAAATTCTGAGTGGAAAGAAATGTCTGTCTATGTGATAAATATCTGTCTGTGTTTTCATTTTGTAGCAGCTGTACGAAAGTGATATTTGAAAATGTGAAGAATAAAAGCATAATATACTTTAAAAAATACTTTTACCATTTTAAAAAAAATACTTTTATCATTTTTTATTGTGATCTGAGTGAAAGTTTACATAGCAAGTTGGTTTCCACTCAACTATTAATACAAATTTTGTTTTATAACATTATTGGCACTGTTCATATTATGGTTTCGCTGGTCCCACTTCACCCCTGTAATTCTCATTTCCATTACTCAATCTAGCCTGCCTCTTCCTGACTTCTGGGCTTGACCCTTGGAAAACGCTACTCCTTGGAACTTCCATGGTTGTTCATGCTAATGAGTGAGTGCCTTCCTGTGTCACCTCATAGACGTGCCCATTGTTTGGCTGCAAGGTGAACCACAGGGGTACAGTTTATTTCTGGTAGGAAGGAGAACTTGGGGTCCAAGTGTTAGGGATTCTGCTAGTTTCTTTCGGACCAGGAAGCCTGGCCTTTTTTAGGTTTTTTTAGTTTTGTTTCACATATCCCCACAAAAACAGCATTTCAGTTCAAGAGCTGACTTGCTTTATGAGTCAACAGCGTAAGAGCCACACGTAATATTTTAGGAAAAAACATTTCTGGAAGAGTCGTGTTTGAGTAGAGTAGCCAATTGTACTGACTTGGTAGGTTTTCTTGAGCAACGCTTGTTTTCTTTCTTTCTTTTTTTTTTTTTTAATTGTATTATTTTTACGTGTACCGTCAAATCAGATCTGACTGGTACAGGAGGAGATTGCCCCCTCCTTCTCCAGCAGAGCATCTGGTGGATTTGAACCGCTTACCTCTGGGATTGCAGTGCAGCGTCTTGCCACTAGGCCACCAGAACTCCCTTGTTTTCTGTTCTTAGGGAGATGGAAAGGAGAGCCAGGCATGTGTCTGTTCCAAGAGCTTGAATGGAGTGGGATAAGACATACACACAGATAACATCAGATATATAGAGAGTGGGTACTGCTGTGAGGCTTTGTGAGGAGGGAGAGGTGATTGGAAAATGTGAGGGAATCCGTCTGTTCTGGTCCTATGAAGTTTTCTGTTCATATCCTCTAAGTATATTAAATCCATATGATGCTTCTGCTTCATATCAGACATTTTTTTCAAGATAGCTTTTTCCCCCTGTAGCTGATAGTTTGTCTTTTAAATATTAGCTGATTAAATACCAGATGTTTTAACCTTCCATACAGAAATTGGGTTTTGTATAGCGGTAGTCCATTCTTCTAGAATGAACTTCTGTTTTCAGTATGATGCTCCATTGTCAAAAGTTCATGGAGTGAAAGAGCTGGGAAGACCTACGAGCTCATCTACTCAAAAATAGCTCTTTTCACAGATATGGAAACTGAGACTCCGAGATACTAAATGGCTTCCACGGCTAGAAAATGCTTTTGGCAGAGCCAGGACTGTATAACCTGCCAACATTGCTGCCATATGTGTGAATGGGAAATATTTGTTTCAGTGGAGGATAATGGAAGTTAATGATTGCCGTTTCTGCTTCTGTTCGCTTGTAGAGGCCCAGCTGAATGCGGTTGATGCTCTGATTGACTCCATGAGTTTGGTGAAGACAGACGAGGAAGAAGGTGCTATTGAAGACTTGTTTCCAGTCAGCAAAATCGCAAATCCACAATTTCAGAGATTATTTCAGGTGAGAGATAAAAGCTGAGCCAAACATGCATCTTTGAAATGACAGCGACTGAGTGAAAAGTTAGAATAATGTCCTAGACTTTCTCTTTATCCTCTGAGAACCTCAGTTATTCATTCTACTTAATGACAGAATGGTACTTTTCTCTCCAGTCTCCAGAAAGATAAGAATCCTCTGAGCTCTTAGAAAGAAAAGGGGAGGGATGAGGTGCTTTTTATCCCCAGAGAAAGGATTGAGGTTTTTTGTCTTGGGTTTTTTTGTTGGTTTTTTTTTTTGTTGTTGGTTTTTTTAAGTTTAAAATTAATATATTTTAGGGCATTATGATTATCATAAGAGTCCGGAATGAGGGTTGCAGAGTGGAGTATACTGGGGTGGGGGAGGGAATGTGCGGGGTGGGGGAAGGGATTGTGTACAAATGAAGGAGTTTGTCTTTTGCTTTTCAAGGAGAGGAGCGAACTGGGGGTGGAGGTGGGGGGGGGGGGGGGGAAAAGTGCAACAATGAATGAATGGAATTCCAAATTCTCTGTAGATGTTCATTGAAATGAATAATAATAAAAACAATTTAAAATAAAAAAATTACATCAGAATTTATGCCTTTTCTGCTCTGTTTTTATGTAAATGAGACTGTTACTTTGTTTCCCCCTCATTTCAGAATTGGAAGAACGTTTTTAAAAGTGCATAGTAATATTATCACTATTAGGAAAGGGTGTGTTCCTTTGCCTCATTTGCCAAAAATGTACTAATTAGATGAGGAAGATCCTCAATGAGATGGATTGACTCCGTGACAGGGGTAATGGAGGTAGGTGTGTCAGACAATAAGGTTGACTCCGGATAAAGTAGGGCTTAGAGCTGTTGTATATAATAGGGACGCTATGAGTCGCAAGTGATTTGACAGTACATGATGACAACAACAACAAAGGTCTGATAAGAGGTTAGAAATGCAAATTAATGTATCTAAAATTTAAAAAAAATAGAATATATATATATATATATATATAATTCTGAATCTTAGGGCAAAGAAATTGAAGCCTGGAGGTTGGATTAAGAGAAACTGAAGAAGCTGACAAGACAGCTACAAAGAGAGAGGAAGGGGTGGACTGAGGTTTAGAGAGGAAGGAATTTTCCAGTCCTGGGTTAATTTGTTGGCAGCAGGCTAGAATCGTCTCTGGTCCTACAGAGCTAAAGAAATCACAAGCTGTTTTTGGACAAATTGTTCTCTCAGAAGGATGAACCCATTTGATGAAGAGATCATATGTTCCTTTTGATGCTCACTTCTCAAAGCAGCTGTAATTAATTCAAGTCCGTATAATGACTTTCTGTAACTCAGAGGTTCCTCTATGCAAAAGAAATGGTTTGTGGTGTTTTGTTGTTGTTGTGTTTTTGGTTTTTTTTTAAAAAAATAATGCTTGTAATTCCTTTAATCAATGAAGGGGAAAAATCCTTTTGTCTTAAATTTAGAAATATGAAACTTAACATGTGAAAGCCTGATTTAGTTAATACGTAGTAATTCTCAATGTAGTCAAGTGTAAATTACTGTTATAAAATTCTCTGGTGCTTATGACAAGCTACTTAAAGCCTGTGGGGAAGGGAGAAGGAGACCATTTGGTGCAGAAACTGGTAAAAAAAACAGGTGGCTGTAATGAAAAAAGAGAAACTGAGTATTTGGCAGATTCATCTGGAGTGGGCTTTGTTTGTCGTATTTGTGCATTGGAATAATAAATAAGTCACAAGCCATAAACGCAGGCATTTTTATCTTGCAAAGCTATAAGCAGTGGCAACTTTGATTTTCTTTGTTTTCTTTTGTTGCAGAGTTTTTAAATGAGGCACTATAAATGCTAGGGCATTTGTAAGTTGCATTAACCTCCCTTCTAATAACAAATATTTATTGAGTACTCAGAGAGAACCATATGCTAGAGATGCTGTGTGTTCACTGCTGTGAAGGACCCACCAGATGAGTAGAGAAGTAGAGAAATACAGAGCCAAATAGTGATGGGTTCAGCATGGTCCAGAAGGAGGAGAATGAGATTCTTGGGCTGGGGGATGGTGGCTTAAGTGTCCTAGACGTGATAGATTGCGTGATGTGACAAATGCCTGTGAATGCATGAAAACATGACGCAGGTGATCGGTTAGGAACTCATAAATAGTCTGGCTAGCCAGCTGTCGGTGAGGGAATGAATGGTGGAAAGGTGGTGGGGAATATCTGAGCAGCAGGTATGTGATAACATGTCTTGTATGCCATACTCATTAGTTTGGATTTTACTCTGTGGACAGTGGGTAATCATTAAAGGTTCTTTCAGCAAGTGAGAGGCATGATTTTTTTTTTAAAGATGCTAGTGACTACTACCTAAGAAACCCTGGTGGCCTAGTGGCAAGAAGCTGAGCTGCCATCCCGAAGGCACATGGTTTGAAACCACCAGCTGCTACACGGGAGAAGGATGGGCAGTCTCCTCCCGTGCCATTAACTGCCTCTGAAAACCCACCTGTGGGTCAGCTATGGGTTGGTTCCAACCTGACAGTAAACAACAAGTGACTACATGAGAAGTAGACTGAGCTGGTAGAATCAGGAGGTAGGGAGATCAGTTGGGAACCCAGTGGTGGCCCAGTGAAGGCCTGAACCAAGGGTGGAGAAAAGTGGAAGGAATAGATTCTCAAAGTGTTTAGATGCTGAATCCCTGATTGGGTTGGCTTAGTGGGTCATGAAAAGAAATTAAGAAGGATTGTGGATAACAGGATTCTGGCTGGGTTGTCTGAAAGGATGGTGTCACCATTCATTGTGATGTTGTTAGGTGCAGTTGAGCCGAGTACAACTCATAGCAACCCTATGAACAACAGATCTGAACACTGTCCTATCCTATGTTGTCGCATCATCTCTGACACACCAGAGCCCACTGCTGCAATCGTTTTGTCGGGTACCTTGTTCAGGCTTTTCTCCTCTTTTGCTGACCCTCCACCTTTCCAATCATGATGTCTTTTTCCAAGGAATATCCACTCCTGGCAGTTTGCTCAAAGTATGTGTGAGTTGAAGCTTCACTATAGTTGCCTTCAAGGAGCACTCTGGATTCACTTTTTCTAAGACATCTATTTGTTCTTTTGGCAGTCTGTGAGATATACAGAACTCTCTTTCACAACTTACAGACGTCATTTCTTCTGTAACCCTTATTCATTGTCTAACTCTCATATGTTCGGCAAGTAATTGAAAAGATCATGGCTTGAATTAGGTGCACCTTAGTCTTTAAACTGATACCGTAACTCCTCAATAATTTGGAGAGCACCCTGATAGCAGATTTACCCAAAGCAATGCGTCTCCTGATCTCCTGACTGCTGGTGCCAAGGGTATTGATTGTGGATTTAAAAATCATTGACAATCTGTCTTTCCTCCATATATCATGATGTTGCGTATCAGTCCAGTGGTGAGGATATTTGTTTTCTTGATGAGATATAATCCATGTTAAATGCTGTTCTTCCCTTTTTATTTTCTAACTTCAGATCTTGCACGTGTAGAAGTCTTTGATCTTCTGCAGTAAGCTTTTTAAGTACTCCTCATTTTCAGCAAGCAAGGTTTTGTCATTTGCATAACACAGGTAGTTGTTGAGACTCCCTCAGATCTCAGCACCACATTCTTCTTCATAGAGTCCAGCTTCTCAAATGATTTGCTCAGCATACAGATTGAATAGGTATAGAGAAAGGACAAAACCCTTATGCACGCTTTTTCTAATTTTAAACCATGCAGTGTTTGTTCTCTTGCTCTGTTTGGGCAACACCTTCAGGGTACAGGTTTTGCATGAGCACAGTTAAGTTCTCTGGGATTCCCATTGTCAGTCATAGTTTGTTGTGATCCAGAGTCAGATGCCTTTGTATAGTTGGTAAAACACAAATAGACATTTTCTGGTATTCTCTGCTTTCAGCCAGAGTGCATATCACTGCTGCCATGACCTCTTCTAAACCCAGCTCGAACTTCTGGCAGTTTCCTGTCAGTATACTGGTCTAGCTGTTATGGGGTGATCCTCAGCAATATTTTGCTTGCCTTTGATACTAATGATCTGTTTGATAATTTTCACATTCTGTTGGATCACTCTTCTTGAGAATAAGAGCACATATGTCCTCCAGCCCGTTGGCCAGGTACCTGTCTTCCAAAATATCCTGGCACAGACTGGTAAACATGTCAGGACTGTGTCTGTTTGCGGAAACATGTCATCTGTTATCCCATCTATTCCTGGGGCCTTAATGTTTTGCTAATGTCTTCAGGGCAGCTTGAACTTCTTTTATTACCATTGGCTCTTTTTTGTTTTTTATTAATTTTATTTTTAAATAAAATTTTTATTTTATACTAGTTTACTTACAAAGTTCACATATGTTGTTTTTCACACACCAGATCTTTCCCATTTCCTTTACTCACCCCCTGTCAAATTGTGTGACCCTATGATTACCACCTGTCTGCCCATCCTCACCCCTCTGCTCTCTCCTCCCCCCTTTACTAGTTATCTATTTCTACAATAATGGTCTTATATAGCATTTGTCCTTGTGAGACTGAGTTCACTTAGCGTAATGCTCTCCAGTCCCTCCCAAGTTAGGTAGTAATTTTCAAGATCATTGCTCCTACATGTTTCATAGTATGAATGTACTATAACTTAATCCATTCGATTGTACTTGGACATTTGGGCTGTTTCCATGTTCTTGCGATAGTGAATAATGTTGCTGTGAACATTGGTGTACAAGTCTCCATTTGTGCCTTAGTTCCTCATCTTCTCGGTATATTCCAAGCAGTGGAATAGCTAGAACATAAGGAATTTCTGTGTTTAGCTTTTTGAGGAAATGCCAAACTGCCTTTCATTGGTTCTTGATGATTTGCTATTTCTTCAAAAGGTTCTGTGTTGTCTAGTTCTTTTTGGTACAGTGATTCTATTCCTTACATCTTCTTATGATGCTTTCTGGATCATTCCAAGATTTTGCTCAGAGCAAAAATCTTTCAGTATTAGAACATGAGGCTTGAATTTTTTTCCAGGTTCATAATTTATTGAACAAATCAAGCATCACATGATGAGTTGACATGAGTTTCCCCAGGTCTGACAAATGAGTTGAGATTCAGACATTTAGAATCCCTATTTATGTTGCTTTCACAGCAGGAGTTTTTTAAGACTTTATCTTGAAGTATGGAACAAGCAAAGCAGTGCCCCCACATGTGGCCAGACAATTGATTCTACCTATGAGTTTATAAGAATTGAAATTTTTTTTAATACTAGTAAGCTGGAATTAAGCATCACTTTCTGGACCTGTCTTGATTTCAGTCTAGCCAAAGCCACAGATTCCACAGCTTGTTTCCTTCAGTGTATAAAGGCAACCCTCGGCCCAGACAGAAATGGAATTTATTTTTCAGTTTCTTCAGCTTGAAAAATACAAAATGAGTTGTTCCCTTTTTCTTTTTTAACTCTAGCTCTTTGCACATTTCATTATAAGACTGCTTTTTGTCTTCTCTGGCTACTCTTTGAAATCTTCTGTTCATCTCATTTACTTTAGATTTCTTCCTTTTATTTTGTGGTTTTCAATGCTCTAGTGCAATTTTCAGTCTTCTAAAATCTGTTTTGGTCTTGTCTTTTCTCCCCTATCTCTGTAACAACTTTCTTCATGGATTATACCTTTGATGTCACCCAGTAAATCATCTTACCTTCAATCATTAATGTCAAACCTATCCTGGAGGTGATTTTTAAATTTCGATGGTTTAGACTCAGGTCACATTTTGGTTCTTGTGGATTTGTGTTCATTTTCTTCAGCTTCAACTAGAACTTGAACATGAATAATTGATGGTCTATAACATAGTCACACCTGGCCAGATTTTACTGATTATATTCAGCTTCTCCAATGATTCTTTCCACAGATGCAGTTAGTCGGAGTCTCATGCATTCCATCAGGTGAGATCCATGTGTAAAGGCACCCTTTGTGGTTTTTTTAAAAAAAAGGTATTTGTGATGAATAAATCATTTACATCCAAAATTCATTCGGTGTACAGCCTCATTTCTGTCACCAAGACTATACTTTCTGACTACCATTCTTTCCTTATTTTTCCAACTTTTGTATTCCATTCACCAGTGATTATTAATGCATCTGGATTGCAAGTTTGGTCCTTTTCAGACCACAAAAGTTAGAAGAAATCCTCTATTTCATCCTCTTTGACTTTAGTTGTTGAGATATATATATATATATATATATTCGTATTAATGCATCTTCTTTGTATGCATATGAATAGTATCCTATCACTCATAACATTGTACATTATGGTAGATTTTCAAGTTGTCTTTTTCACTTATGAATGCAACATCATTTTTCCTCAGTTTTACACTCCTGGTTCAATGGATCGTACGATTGATTACCGTGGCCCATGCCAGTCCGTCTTATTTCACTAATGCCAAAATGCTGATCTGAATGCATTCCATTTCATTTTTGACAACTTCCAGGCTTCCTACATTCATACTTTATACGTTTCATGTTCCATTTATTAAAGAATGCTTGCAGCTGTTTCTCCTCATTTTAAGTGGCTTCTGATCAGGGATCTACCTCTAATACTAAATTCCTCCCCTTTTGTTCATAGGTTTCCATAGGCCTGGTGTTTCAGAAGTGGTCGGCCAGTCCCACTTTGTAGTCTGTCTTAATCTGGGACCAGTGACATAATCTGGGACCTGTCCAACATGGGTGACCTTTTTGGCATTTGAAACACTGGTGGCCTAGCTTCTTCCAGCACTACAGCAACTCACAAGTTATTCTAGTACAGCAAACTGAGGGGGGAGTAATTTGTATGTTGCCAGTTACTTTACAACTTAGTTGTGTATAATATGCTTGCTTGTTCATTGTTTGCTCATATTAGTGTAGCACTTGTCTGTCAGTTTGCTTGACTCGGATAACTTGTGGGTTGTTGTAATGCTGGAAGCAGCTATGCTTGTCATTCATTGTGATAAGGAACAGAAAAGGAGGAGGTCGAAAATGTAGATGATTTACTTTTTCAAGCGTTAAATTTGAGATACCTATTGGAAATACCTATTGGAAACTCTACAGACTCTCTTATAAATGTACAGAAATTATTTTAATTACAAAACAGTGTTCAGTTCTTTTGTGCAAAGCATACTCTGAGTTATGTTTGGCTCGATAGCACTTAACCACTCCTAAATGAGACTAGTGCTGTTCTGTCTGGAGCAACATTCTTCCACTTTGCGCATCACTCTTTGTCAGTGTGCTGTGTGAGGTAACCTGGGTTTGCTGTGTGTTGAACCTTGTGCCATGGGGATATCAATTACCATTATGGTTTCCCATTGTGGATACTATTTGTGGAGCTCTCAGTTGTAAAACAGGTTGGAAAGCAGGAGTGGCATCCACTTCCTAAATCACATGCCTCGGGAAACTTTGTGAACTTGGAGAAACACGATAGCTATGGAAAGGCATTAGGTCTTTTCTTAATAGAGTCACTATGAGTCGACCTCGATTCGATGGCAATCAACAGCAACAATATTATATATCGAAGTACAGATATTCAGTAAGAAATTGAAAAGAATATGGAACCCAGGAGAGAAAACCTAAAAACTAAGAAAACCTAAGCCTACTGCTGTCACGTTGGTGCCAAATCATAGTGATCCATCAGGTTTCAAAGAGGAGGAGACCTCTCATTTTTATCCTTGGAAACCACTAATGGATTTGAACTTCCGACCTTCAGTTGGGAATCTAATAAATTATACACAGGGCCACCAGAGCACTTTCTTGGAGAAAATTCTAGTCTAAATGGGAAGATTTTAAGGTTCTTCTTCATTAGGTAAAAGTGAATTGTTCCTTCAACCAATACCTGTTATTTAGGTGCTTAGAATTCAGAAGTAAGCAAGGCGAATGAGATCTCTACTTTCAAGGGAGAGGGTTAATAAATACATTGAATAATTGATGAGATCATTTTAGCCAGTGGTAAGGCTGTGAACACTATAAAACAGGAAATAATAGTGATTAGCTGGTAGGGTGGAGGAGGTTCTACTTTAAGTTAAAGTGGCAGGTAGCACCTCTATAAAGATAATCTTTGAGCAAAGACCAGAATGACGAAAAGGACCCAATCTAGAAATTTAGGGGGAATCAGAACAGGTAGAAGGAGCATGAACAATAGGATGCAAAGGCAGAAATCAGGTTGCTTCCTCAGTGGGACAGAAAGCTGAAATTAGCTGGGTTGTGGTCAGTATGAAGGTTAGTTGTAAGGAAAGGTAATGAAACAAAATGAAATAGATTGGCCCAGGATATGGTATGAGGGTGTTTTAGCTGCAGTGGAATAGTCAGAGCAGGAACAGGGAAACCTATTTTAGAAGGGGATAGAAATAGACCAGATGAGAAGTGATGGCACTTGGACAGGAGTGGTATCAGTGGAGATGATATGGATAGGCTTGCAGAGAAAACTCAGACTGGTGGGAAGTTGGGAAAAACTTACCCCATGATTCAATGAAGGTTGGCAGTACAACTCAGCCACCAGAACTCCCTAACAAATCACATGTTGTTGTTGCTGTGTACCTTTGAGTCTGAACCAATCACAGCTGACCCGCCAGGGGGTTTTAGAGACAGAGAGAGTGGACTGCACAACTCTCCACTGTGGAGCAGCTGGTAAGATGTAAACCTCATGGGTACTCCTTACCATTTAAGCCACCCTTGAATCACATTTGTCATTGTTGTTAGGTCTCATCGTGTAGAGCATGACTCATAGCAACCCTCTGAACATCAGATCTAAACACTATTCTCTCCTGCACCATCCTTGTCAACGCTGACATAAATTGTTGTTGTTGTTGTTATGTGCTGGTGAGTTGCCTGCGACCCATAGCGACCCTGTGTACAGCAGCTCTGAACCCTGCCCTGTCCTGAGCCAGTCTCACTAATTCCGACACACCAACCTCCAAGGAGGAATCCTGCTCAGAGGAGGTTTAATGAAGCTTCGTGTGATGGCTACAGCTGTGTCCTAAAATCCTCCTCACTTTTCCCACAGTGTCTGCTGCACAGAGCTTTGCACCCTCAGAAGCCTCTGCCCCCAATTCAGCAGCATATTTTGAATATGCTGGATCCCCCCACTGAAGTGACAGCTAAATGCCAGATTCCTCTGTCTGAAATAAAGACTCTCTTCCCTCTGACTGAAGCCATCAAGAAGAAGGATCAGCTAACTGCTCAGGAAATTTTCCAAGACAAGTAAGTACTGTGTATTTTCATTTGAAGTTGAGTGTATGAAATGGGTGGGAGTCTTAAGGGAGCTTCAAGAGCATATAAGCTTGTAAGATTAAAACCTTTTTTTTTAATGGGTTTTTTTTTATTAATTTCAAAGAACATCTACAGAGATTTTGGATTTCCATTCATTCATTGTTGGACTTTTCTCCCAGCCCACCTCCCCCACCAACCCCCAGTTCGCTCTTTTCCTTGAAAACCAAAAGAAAAACTCCTTCATTGTTAGACAATCAGCCCGCATACCCCCACCCTGAGTATACGCCACTCTGCAACCCTCATTCCAGACTCTTATGATAATCATAATGCCCTAAAATATATTACTTTTAAACTATTCTATCCCTCATCGGCTTCAGTGCAGTAAACATAATTTATCCAGTTTTTCTCAGTCTTACCCCGACCCTGATGGCAACCTCATTCTGCACCGTATAGTATTTGTCCTTTTGTGACTGAGATATTTCACTCAGCATAATGTCCTTCAGGGTCATCAATTTTGTATATTTCATGAGTTCCTTGTTTTTCAATGCGATGTAGTATTCTATTGTGTGAATATACCACAGCTTCTCTATCCATTCATTTGTTGTTGGGCACTTAGGTTGTTTCCAACTAAAGGAAACCTTTTTTTTAAAAAAAAAAATTAATCCTCACCACTGGACCAATTGGCAGCATCAGGATGGATGGCGAAGAGATTGAGATTGTACACAGCTTTAGTTTGCTTGGCTCCACAGTCAATACTCTTGGCATCAGCAGCCAGGAAATCAGAAAACATATTGTGATGGGAAAGTCTGCTGTTAAGGACCTCTCCAGAGTACTCAAGAGTAACGGTGTCTTCTGGAGACTAAGGTGCGTCTGATACAGGTCATGGTCTTTGCAATCACTTGTTATGCATCAGAGAGTTGGACAATGACTAGGGAGGATAGAAGGAGAATTGACGCCTTTGAGCTGTGGTGCTGGAGAAGAGTATTGAATGTACCATGGACTGCCAAGAAAACAAACAGATTCATCCTGGAGAGGGTTAAACTAGGCTACTCCTTGGAGGCAAGGGTTCTGGGGCTTTGTCTGACATACTTTGGACATGTTTTAAGGAGGGACAGGTCTTTGGAGAGGGACATCATGCTTGGTAGGGTGGAGGGACAGCGCAGGAGGGGAAGACCCTCTATGAGGTGGATTGATTCAGTGACTGGGGTAATTGGGATGGGTATGTCAGAGGCAATGCGATTGGCACAGGATAGAGCAGGGTTTAGGGCTGTTGTACATAGGGTCGCTATGAGTTGCAAACGACTCGACAGCACATAACAACAACAACAATTGTGACTTTAACAAAAGTTTACAGAAAACTTGGATTTCCATTCACTCATTGTTGCACATTTTCCTCCCTCCCCCTCACTCAGTTCACTTTTTTGGGAAAAAAAAATTTTTACTCATTTCCTTTTTTTCTTTTTTTTTTTTTTAAAAAATTCATTCATTGTTGCATATGGCAAGAACCTTTTGATGTTTGCTACTTACATTGAATATTAGCTTGTTTTCTGCCAGAGGAGAGGCCTAGTCATTGACATTATGTTTAATCCTTGCTATTCCTATGGGAATTAGAGTTACCTTCTGAATTATTAGCTTGTTGATGAGTATTTGATTCCTTGTTCTAGAAGGCTTAAGTTCTTTTTCTTAAAATCCAAGGCTAGATTTTACCCTTCTTAAAATTAAGGTGCAGGCATTGAGGGGAGAGGACAAGGGTCCTTGGTTACCTTTCTTTGAAGGGTTAGGTGTCCAGGAAACCCTGGTTAGATTTTAGTAGAAAAATGAGAAGAAGAGTGAAAAATCTGGCCTTTGTTTAGTTGCCTTATTATGTCAGTGATGTGCTTGGTTGTATCATGAGTGAGGTATTTGTAATTTAAGAGCTGCAAAATTCTTTTCACAGTCTTTAGGTCAAATCTCTTTTTCAAGTAGTGATTGAGAGGTTTTTTGTTTGTTTGCTTTATCTTGTCCTTCATTAGATTCTGTTGAGAATCTATATTAATTTCCACTAAAAGAACAAAACAAAGCAAAACCAAACCAACACTTGTTCCTGATTATCCGTAATAAATGACTATCGTGCATTGATTTTATTGGGTTCAGTGCAGCTGATTATTTCCCCCCACAATAAAATCATCTGTTCCTCTCCTTTAAGTTCTCTCTTCAGATCTGCCTTTAGATCCTAATTCCTTTCTCTTTGACTTTCTTCCCACAGCTGTGTCTTTATCGACCAAGTTAAGCTTATTATTTATAAATATCACAGTGTAGGAGTATTAAAACTAGTGAAACCTTCCCAAGTTTCAGTGAATCTTATATTTAAAGAATTATCTCTCAGGTTGAGTAGACAGCGTTGTCTTTTTGGTGGCGTGCTAGAGATTAATACCCTAAACTTTATAAGGCTTGAAGAGCATTCATGGGATTGATGAATTCTGTAATGTGCTTTCCTAAACGTCTGTCCATGTTTCATTGACATTCAAAGGCATCTGACTGTGTGGATCACAACAAATTGTGGCTAACCTTAAGGAGAATGGGAATCCCAGACACTTGATTGTGCTCCCGTGAAACCTATGCTCAGACCAGAAAGCAGTCCTCAGAATGGAGCAAGGAAATACTGCATGGTTCAAAATCAGGAAATTGAGTGCGTCAGGGATGCATCCTATCTCCATAACTTTTCTATCTATATGCAGAACAGATCATTGGGGAGGCTAGGCTTTATGAGGAGGAATGTGGATCAGAATTGTAGGAAGACTCAACAACCTATGTTATGCAGATGATACAATCTTGCTTGCTAAAACTGAAAAAGATCTGAATTACTTGCTTCAGAAGGTCAAGGACTATAGTCTTCAATATGGATTGAAGTTCAACCTCAAGAAAACAAAGATTCTCACCACTGGGCCAATCGATAGCACCATGATAGATGGAGAGAAATTGAGGTTGTTAACAAGTACAGCTTGCTTGGCTTCACAATCAACACTCTTGGTTCCAGCAGTTAGGAAATCAAAAGACGAATTTGCACTGGGAAAATCTGCTGTCACTTACCTCTCCAGAGTACTGAGAAGCAATGATGTCTATCTAAAGACTAAGGTGTGCCTTATCGAGACCATAGTCTTCACGATTACTTGCTATGCATCAGAGCTGAACAGTGACTAAAGATGACAGAAGAAGAATTGATTCCTTGGAGTTGTGCTGGAGAAGAGTATTGAACATACCATGAACCACCAAGAAAACAAATAGGTCTGTCTTGGAGAGAGCCTTGGAGTCCAAGTCTTCTTGGAGGCTAGGATTTTTAAACTCCGTCTCACGTACTTTGGGCACATGGCCAAGAGGTGCCAGTTCTTGGAGAAGGACTTCATGCTTGGAAGGATGGAGGGACAGCGCAGGAAAGGAAGACCCTAGATGAGATGGATTGATAAAATAACTGGGGCAATGAGGGTAGGTGTGTTGGAGTCAGTGAGACTGGCTCAGGGCAGAACAGGCTTCAGAGCTGCTGTACATAGGGTCGCTCTGAGTTGCAGGCAACCTGACGGCGGGTAACAACAACAACAAACATGCCCTGAGGAAGATTGTTCCTTTTTAGCCTGCCATGGTTTCTCCTACATAGGAAGCTTCTGCTGAATGTACCTTTTCCAATCGCTATCCTCATCTACCCATCTGCCTTTGGACTCGTAGTTTAGAACAATTCCATACAATTCTGATTTTTTCTCTTCCCATGACATCCTTCCTCTAGTCTCACCACAGTCATGGGGCTGTTCTTTCTGTTTTAAAGCTCCAGTTCATGATCTTGATTACCTTCTGGTGGTGGGGGAAAGAAATGGGCCATTTTCCCCTCATCTAGTTGATTAAAATGCAAATTAACTGGTTAAAAAAAAACCCAACACAAAACCCACAACACCCCACACCCCAGTAGTCTCAGGAGGCAGTTGTTTTCTGATTTGATTCCTGCTGTGATTGCACCTTCAGCGCTGTTCCTACCACTCACTCTCAGGAAGTTAGGATGTACAGGGCTTCATGTTTTTACTTTCCTAATGGCCTGTGGTACAGCCAAGCCATCTGCCTGGGGCCTGAAAATTATCCTGCTCACACGTACACCTACTCTCACTCCTATTTTCTACCTTTCTTTAAAAGCTTTGAAATCCAGAAATAATGCATTAAATACATATTTATTGAGAACCTTCTCTCTTCAGGAGTGACTCAGTTCTTGCTGCAAGATTCTTGACACCTTTGATTTTTATGACAATAGCTCCAGTCAACATAAGTAGTAGTTTCTTAAAGGAAAAAAAATAGCTAAGAATTAGTAGTGATGTATATGGTCAGTTTCCTTGAAGCTAAGCTACATATTTCTAGGGTCTGAACAGGGGTCTGGTGTCGGAGCGAGGGTCTCATGTGCGAGCAGGTTTCTTGTATCTGAGCGGGGGTCTGGTGTCTTAGTGAGGGTCTAGTGTCTGAGCGGGGGTCTCGTCACAGTGACTAAGGTGAGGACTAAGCAAGTACTTGTTCAGGAACTGGCATAATCTGGGACAAGAGGCCTGACCCTGGGAATCACTCGTTGGTGGTTCCAGCTTTGTCACTCTTACCTAATTTGGTTTAAATAATTTTTAATGTCTCTGCGGCTCTCTATCTAAAAATAGCCTCTTAAGAAGCTTCTCTTTTCTTACATTTGAAGAGAACTTCTCCTTACATTTGAAGAGCGCGTCTCTCTTCTTACATTTGAAGAGAGTTGTACATTTATGATTTAATAAAATGATTCTCAAGAATCAAAACACCCCACCTCAAGAGAGATTGTAAGGCACAATGAACTCATAGATAATGAAGCATTTTGAGAAAACAGTAGTCATACTAAAATCAATAATTGTGACATTATCAATAGAAGTCTTTGAACATTTTAGAAAGCCTTTCATTTATTAATCTCTGATGTGTGATGGAACCTGCAGAGAGGGCCAGTACATGTGGACCTCACCTGA